ACCAATGTCATAAAACAATCTGTGTACTACTGTTTCATGAGAAACTATTTGTTCTGTAAGCCTTCACCTGAAGTACAATAAAAAAAATATATATACATATACAAGATTTTGGAATAAGAACAGAACAACAACCACAAACCCAGAAGAGATAAAGAGAAAAATGCAAATATGTGACAAGTTTGAAAGTCAAGGAAATGGATGATTCCTTAGCTAAAGAAAACAAGGAAGAATATTTGAATAGACTCATTTCCAAATAAGAGATTAAAAGGAGGATTAGCAATTTGCCACTGATGAATTCACAGCACAGTTTTATCTAACCTTTAAGGAAGAGAGAAATACAAAATTCCTTGGAATTAGCTATCCAATTCATATGGATAACATGTCTTCAGATAGGATGTCAAAACTTTCTCTGCCTTCATAAAGTAAAACTAAAGTGTTATTCATGTTTTCTTCTAATGAAATAAATGTGAAAATGTTGGGCTATATTTGAATGAAAATTATTCACTAGCGAGGCAGTTCCTGAGATTCCTGGTCAAGCTGGAATACAAAACACAATACCACTTAGCATCTTTACAGAGCATTACCCAAAGTCTATATTCCTACGTACCTTAAAGTCAAATAAAATGAAGACAGAGAAAACACACATCTTTCTATTATCTATTTGTTTAAAAAGTATTTATCAACTGCCTACAAGTTCGAGGCTAAAAAGTTGGTACCAAAAATCTTATGCAAACGTGTTTTCCTCTAAGGATAAACTAACAAGGAGAAATTTTCACTTGAGAAAACCATTAAGATGTCTAAGATTAAAAAAGCATTCATTAGGTTACTTACAACTGCAAACTCATCTCTGTCAAGCATCCCATCATGGTCAATATCACTCAACTCCCAAACCTTAAAAAAAAAGCAAGAATTGAGAGAGATTAATGTATTTTCATTTAATGTGTTACTTGTAAACACCAAATACATACATGCAGGCGAGGGGGCGATATCACATAAACACTATAATACCTATTTTTCTGAGAAATTTCAATTATATCGATCATTTTATTATATTACTATTATATGTTAACATTACTATAAAAAGACCTAATAGGTCTTAATTATTTTTAAATAGAAATTCCTTTTAAAAATCTTAAAGAAAATACCATTTTGTTCCTCTCACGTAAGAAAACAATTATTTACTTAATACTTAAAAATTACAATCCTCTTTCACAAACATCATCTCAGTTAATTCACGCAACAACTCTATGGGGTACTATCTACTCTGTTTTACTTATGACGCTACATAACTTATCCAGGATCATGCAACTATTACTAAGTAATAGAATCAGTGTTCAGTGTTATGAAGACTTCCAATTAAGTCCATTATTGTTTTTCCTATACTACAGAATCTATAATCAACTAAAAGAAATACGCAAACAAATATTGTGTTAGTAATCATTTACCAGCTAATGTCGAGGGCTTACAAAGAAAAAATAAAACCTAAAAGGTCCTGGCAGACTTGGTCTAAATCCAGAGTTGATTCCATGGCTTTAGACTAGATAAGTTCTTGAAAAGAAGCTATTGAAGTCATTCAACAAAACTTTACTTGATGCAAGGAGAGAGTGTACTGGGTGAGAGGTAGGTTGGAGACAAGAAAGTGCCTGGTCATTACAACCCTTGAAAAGAGTTTGAACTTTACTCTAAGCACAATGGGAAGTTACTACTGGGTTAGTTTTATTCAAAAAATGACGGAATCATATTTATATTTTAGAAATAGTGGGTAGCAATACTGGAAAATGGATTTTAAGTATTTATTGAGCACCTACTCTATACAACAGCACTAATTCAGTAGCAATAGAAGTATTGCTGGTGGTGGTGGTAGTCATTATCATCACCGCAGCTAGCATTCAAAGTATGTACCAAGTGCTGTGCTATGTATTTTACATGCTGTTGTTGTTAGGTGCCACTGAGTCAGTTCAGACTCATAGCGACCATATGCACAACAGAACAAAACACCGTCCAGTCCTGTGCCATCCTCACAATCACTGTTATGCTTGAGCCCACTGTCGCAGCCACTGTGTCAGTCCATCTCGTTGAGGGTCTTCTTCTTTTTTGCCTATTCTCTACTTTACCAAGCACGACGTCCTTCTCCAGGGACTGGACCCTTCTGATAACATGTCCAAAGTATATGAGATGAAGTCTTGTCATACTTGCTTCCAAGGAGCATTCTGGCTGTACTTCTTCCAGGACAGATTTGTTCGTTTTTCTGACAGTCCATGGTATATTCAGTATTTTCTGCCAACGCCATAATTTAAAAGCATCAATTCTCCTTCAGTCTTTTTCACTCGTTGTCCAGATTTCGCATGCACACAAGGCAATTAAAAACACCATGGCTTGGGTCAGGTGCATCTTAGTCCTTAAAGTGACATCTTTGCTTTTCAATACTTTAAAGAGGTCTTTTGCAGCAGATTTACCCAATGCAGTGCATTGGTTGATTTCTTGACTGCTGCTTCCATGGGCACTGATCGTGGATCCAAGTAAACTGAAATCCTCGACAACTTCAATCTTTTCTCCTTTTCTCGTAATGTTGCTTACTGATCCAGTTGTGAGGATTTTTGTTTTCTTTGTGTAAGGTGTAATCCATACTGAAGGCTGTAGTCTTTGATCTTCATCAATAAGCGCCTCTTCACTTTCAGCAAGCAAGGCTATGTCATCTGCATAGTGCAGGTTGTTAATGAGTCTTCCTCCAATCCTGATGCCCTATTCTTCTTCATATATTCCAGCTTCTTGGATTATCCGCTCAGCATACAGACTGAATAAGTATGGTGAAACGTCAGAACCCTGACACACAACTTTCCTGATTTTAAACCATGCAGTATCCTCTTGTTGTGTTCGAACGACTGCCTCTTGGTCTATGTACAGGTTCCTCATAAGCACAATTAAGTTTTCTGGAATTTCCATTCTTCACAATGTTATCCATAATTTGTTATGATCCACACAGTCGAAAACCTTTGCATAGTCAATAAAACACAGGTAAACATCTTTACGGTATTCTCTGCTTTCAGCCAGGATCTATCTGACATCAACAATGATATTGCTCATTCTACGTCCTCTTCTGAATCTGGCTTGAATTTCTGAGAGTTCCCTGTTGATGTACTGCTGCAACTGCTTTTGGCTGATCTTAAGTAAAATTTTACTTGTGCATGATATTAATGATATTGTTCCATAATTTCCACATTCTGTTGGACCACCGTTCTTTAGAATGGGCACAAATATGAACCTCTTCCAGTCGACTGGCCAGGTAGCTGTCTTCCAAATTTCTTGGCACAGACAAGTAAGCGCTTCCAGCGCTGTATCCATTTGTTGAAACATCTCAATTCATATTCTGTCAATTCCTGGAGCCTTATTTTTTGCTAATGCCTTCAGTGCAGTCTGCACTTCTTCCTTCAGTACCACTGGTTCTTGATCATATGCTACTTCCTGAAAGTACTTTACATATATTATCACATTTAATCCTTACAACCCTATAAACTAGGAATTATTATGCCCATTTTAAAGGTTAGAAAACTGAGACATGGTTTTCTAATGATTTTCCCAAGGTCATACAGCTAAAAACTGGTGCAGGTAAGATTTGACCCCATGTAGTTTCACCATGCAGGGGAGTTAAGAAAGAGCTGGAGCTTTTAAAGAAAGTAGTTAAGGTTTGACATATATGGAGGGGTGAAGAGATTATCACTACGGGAACACCACAATAGTGGCTGGCAATAGGGAGAGCCCAGCTGAGGTTGGGGACCAATAATTTTATGATATCAATCTTCTTAGACTTTCTCAGCAGTCTATGTGCAACCAGAGAGACCACAGATAATTAGCTTTATGCAAATTTAGAATTTCACCAGGTGGGAGAGATGGAAGAATAACATGGTAAAGGGAGCTAAGGATATGGACATGAAAACTGTAGACCAAAAAACCAATTTGGATGAGAAAGAGAGTAAATTCAATAGAAAGCAGAAAAGTAAAAGAATTTGAGATTTAAAGGTACTGATGAAGTCAGAGAATTAAAGTCTTACAAGTATCTAGGAAAGAGATCTAGAAAAACAGAAAGTTCTAGTTACTGAGCAGAATTTACGATTTCAGAGAAGATACTATCCCTATGACAAAGCTCATGATATAGCCATGGGAGTATCATATGTAAAATACTGATGGTCTCCAGAAATTAAAAAAGACAAGAAATTGAGAGGTCAGAGGCCTAAATGTACAGTACAGTGAAAAGAGGACCTAATTTAGGGGAATATATATATATATAGCTAATTTTAAATATTCACATTTTAGAGGTAATAACAATATACAGAAGTAAATTGGAAATAATTTTATATATTAAGTCAGAACACAAGAGAATTCTGTAATTATACAATTTCAAAATAAAATCTATGTATTTTTTAACAAGGAGGTATAATGTTCCCGGTAGATCCAAAATTAGAATGCATAAAAATTACATTTAGAAGTTAATAATAGCTTACTCTTCCAAGGATATCCACAGGTAACTTAGAGTTGAGCAACACTGGTTTCACTTTACCACCAGACAGAAATCCATTCACTGGGCTTAAACTATCAAAAATTGCATCGTATTTGGCCTTATCTTCAGACTATAATATAAAAAAAGATCACAAGTTAAATAATGGTGAAAAGGATTTAAATACACCTGTAAAAATCAAGCCCTCAAAGAACAGACAACATATTTTTTACTTATTTCAATATTTATCATTTATATCTTTCATCAAACTCTATTATAATAATTTCAAAGTAACTCTACTCAAGAATTCAGTGTCCTGTTCCTTTTTTAGCTGGGACACTATCTTTGCTTCTCTAGTGTTAGTTTAAAACGAAAATATTTCAGAGCTAGAAGGGCTTTGAAGAACAATTAGTCCAACTCTCTCACTTAAATCCTCAGCAAGGAAGTAACTTTTATAAGACACAGCTAGTTAGTGATCCTCTATGATTTTCTAAACATGGTGTTAGGTACATGTTTCAAATTCAAATAAATAAATTTAAAAATAAAATTACTGCCATGGAAACAAACATCAAGATTCCCCTATCTTTCCTAAAGCAAGATTTCTTTTTCTTGTCAACAACAAGGTATCTCCCAAATCCTGAAAAGTTGCCTATATAAAATCAAAAAGTATCATTCATGATTTACCCAGTCAAAACCAAATCCCTACCAATACGTTTTAAATTAGTCCACCAGCAGAGACATACAAAATGGTTTGTTGACAAAAAGAATATATACTGTAATTTAATTGGCTATATTCTAATACTGTTTTTAAACTATAATTTTTAAAATCTGATACAATAAATATCCATAATCAATGTAATGCCTTCAAATAATATAAAATGCCCACTTCAGAAAGAGATCATAAAATATATTTAACGGTTAAGCTTAAAGAGAATATCAACAAGAATTTTCAAACAAGAAATAATACCAGTGGGGTAAACTACCTATTCATGAAATATCTTCACTAATATAAGATTATGACATCATCATTTTTATTTTACAGTATAGCAAAAATGAGACTAGACTAATTGTCACTAAATGATTGACAAAGCTGAAAGATAGCTCTAAAAATTCCCAGTACTTGAACATATCTATTAAAGTCTAACATAGATTGCAATATATTTTAGAAGTAAGTAAGAGGATATATGTGAGCAGGAAGCAAAGCAGGGGTAAGAAAAGAATAGCTACAAAGTTTACTTACTCTTACAGCCCATGGGAGTTCAGCTGCTGAGGTTCCACTGATTAGTAAAGGACTACCGGTATCATGCTAAAAAGGAAAACAAAGCAAATGAAAGGTTGCTCCTCACGTCAATAAGCAATGAAGAAAAAGCAGACACTGAATTTAAATATATTCATAAAAACTGTTGTATCTCAGTGCACACAGGACACTCTATTTTAATCAGACCTACATTTAGAGCTCCCTGGGTGGTGTAAACTGTTTGAGCTCCACTAACTTAAAGGCTGGCAACTGAAACCCACCCAGCAGCGTGGCAAAAGAAAGGCCTGGTAATCTGCCTCCATAAAGATTACAGCCAAGAAAACCCTACGGAGCAGTTCCACTCTGTAACATATGGGGTTGCCATGAGTCAGAATCGACTTGACGGCAACAGGAAAGACCTTCATCTAAATACAAATGAAACAAATAGTGTTTTGCTGAGTTGAAATGCATACGTAAGTGTACAGCACTAACTAAAACACGTATTATCGATGAAATCCTATTACAACTGAGATAAAGATATCTGAATGTACAGAAAAGAAATATAAGAATAAAAACAAAAAAAGATATAAAAAAAAAAAACAAAACCGATATCTGAATGTAACAACAATATTCATGGCCCTATTAACTAATGGCTTTTTCCCAAGAGTACTTGAAGAAATCACAGTGGGAAAACAACCCAATATGATTAGCTCTTAGGACTTCTAAGTACAAGTACATGATACCTATTAACAGCATGCCAAGTCATCATGTTTATTTGGTTGAAGAAACAGATGAATATACATACATATATATAAAATATATATATAATCTTTGGAAGGATACACAAGAAACTAATAACAGCAGTAGCCACTGAGAAAGAAACCAGGTTGGGCAACAGGGGCTGGAGGGAGAATTTTTTTTATAGATAATAAATTTTAAGTCTCAAACCATATAGTATGATTTCAAAAAAAATTAAAAACAAATTAATTTAAATGTGTTTCTTACAAATCTTGGTGGAGGAACAGCCAGGTTCAAGCTACTGAGTGAAACATCCAATCCATTCTGGGCACATGCCACCAGACGCAAAGCAACAAAGAATTCCTAAGAAAGAAAAGTATGAATGTCAAGAATGTTAAGGAAATATGTACATATGTATGTAAGTATATGTACATACACACACGCACACATACTCTAAGTATATACACGCATATACATATACTTACAATCTGAAAATATAAAGCATTTCACAATTATTACAGGTTTCTTATGTAGCAAGAAGTATAATAGTACATCATTTCCTTGCTTTAAAATTCAGAAAAGATCTACACACAAAAATGTTCCTAACATTATAATAGCAACAAACTGATAACAATATAATGGGAAAATACTTAAATAAACTGTGATACATACAGAGTAGAAATTATACAGAATTAATAATCACGTTTCCAAGAATATTTAACATTGTAAAGAAAAACTCTTTCATCATATAAGTGAGAAAAAATTTTTGAAAAAAGCCTAGAAGGCTAAACATCAAAAGTCATCTCTGGATTGTGAGATTATACATTTTGAAACTGGGTTAGTCATTCAAGGGACTCAATCACTGCTATTCAAGAATAGCTACAGAAAATAACTGTGTAGTATCTAAAACACCTATATAACTACTTGACTTCAAAATATTTATAAATCTCTCCAAAAGGTTTTGGATTTTTGGCATCTGAAGTCTCAGTCCAAAACATACATTCGTACGTACATACATACATAAATGCAAAGACACTGAAGCAAATGTTTTCTGCTGTTTTGAGTTATTAAAGTCAGGTCTGGGAATAGAAATGACAAAAAAGCCTTTTCTCCAGTTACTATTACTTGCAACTTGTCAATACCTTAAAACAGCTGCTGATGTAATCAACTCTTGACTACTTTTCTCAAATCCCGTTCTCACCTACACTCTTCTTACCCAGTTCTTAACCTATTCTTATCACCTCGCCTGCTGTCTGCTTTATGTAATTCCTCGCCTTCACTCACAAATTTCTTGAAAAAAATGCTATTTCAAGATCTCTCCTCTCTTCGTATTCACTTCCCACATCAGCTAGAAAAACTGCCTACATTACAAATAACCTTCTATCTACCAAATAAAATGACCTCCTTTTAAAAAAAAGACAAAAAAAAAAAAAAAAAACCTCATCCTGCTTGACACTACGATCCACCCTGAAACTCTCCTCCATCAGCACAGCTTCAAAAAGCCATCCTGGTTTTCTGCTGACCTTTCCAGTCTCCTCTGTTGAATTCAAAGCCTCCTCCAACCTTTAAATGTTGGTATTCTAAGTATTCCAACATTGACCCTCCTTTTCTTTTCTCACTCTATGAGATTCAATTACTCTTAGGGAATCAGATCCACTCCCCAGTATGGACAGGCTCTAAAGTGAAAGTCCTGCATTAAATTCCAGTTCTGCTATTTAGAGTCGTGAGGCCATGGGCAAGTTACATAAAACTCTTCCATAAAAGGTGGGCTAATAACTTACCTTGCAACGTATAATGAGCAACAAAATAAGAACTATAGGTGGAAAGTGCCTAACGCTGTTTTGGCACATAGAAACTCAATAAGCATTGTTTTCTTTTCTTTCTTTCATACGTAATTCCCAAATCTATGACTCCTGTCCAAACACTGAAGTTTAACCTAGACCCATAAATCTAGCCACCTTGATGAAACAAAGACAAACTCAACATTCAAAGTGTAAGAATATCAGAGAAGAAATTATTATACTGTAAGCTCATGAGGGTAGGGACAACATCTGTCAGGTTCACCTCTGTATTCCCAAAGCCTGGCTTATAATAGGCACTCAACAAATATTTGATGAAAGAATGCACAGCATCCTAGGTGCACACATGAATTTAGTCTTCCTATGTCTCCAACGTACCAAACTGGCCTTTTACCCAAGGTGCCAATAGGGACTATAATCTAGCCCTAAAATTTTATTTAATAGAATGGGTATTCTGACCATCTCATCTGATTTTTCCCACCCTGTTTTTGGGATTGATCTTGCTTCAGCTATCCCCCTAGGGAGAAACTAGACTTGAAGAGTGGTGTTCAGTAAATGTATTAGCATACAGTAAGCTTTGAGTTCAATTCCATAGAACTCTGAAATCCATCCCCAACAAGCAGAACTTCAAATCACACTGATGATGCTGAAATCCTGTGGCCACAACCACTTTCATGTATTTCTGGTCTAGGATTTACTTCTGGCCTATATAACCAATTTTTGGGTTATATGTCAGAGTAGGACCTAGACCACAATACTCAGGTCTGATTGGCCAAGAGCTTCCTTTCAAATGTACTGGGTAATACCATAATAACACTTACTAATTAAACTGACTTTTACTTAGAAGCCTGTACATACAAGAATTTTAATAAGGAGATACAAAGAGCAGAGCCTCTCTTAAACTCAGTCTGAGAAAAATAAACCCTAGGAAAACAATGTCACCAAACTAACAGTAACCTTTGGGAATTACTTTTAATGTCTAGTGATTGAAAATATTTTCATTTGGTTATAACACCTGCCCTTGCAAATCTCTAGAGCTTGCACAAATAAACAAAAACACCATTCTTAGCTTAAAAATACAAAAAGCTGCTGGCTATTTTCTATTTTGAATCACTCAAAAGTTTTTTCATATGAATCTCTGAATCTTACTTGTTTGTTCAGGATACCTTTGCCATCTGTGTCAGCTAAATCCCAAATCTGAAATTTGGAAGAAAAAAAAAGCATCAGTCTGTATTTTAAACAAAAATCGTCTTAAAGTTTATTTAGTACTGAGGCCCAGTGAGGTTAAGTGACTCGTTCAAGAACATTTAAAGCATCAGGGAAAGAAATGACATCCAGGATCTAACTTCCATTCCAGTGCCTTTTTCAATAGCTCAGGTTCTAATCCAAGTCGAAAGGCCTTTCGACTAGAAAATACCACCCTGATTTTAGATCCTTATTAAGATGATGTATTTTCCTACAGGCAAGTTGAGATGGTTAATATTTACTTGTGAATAATTAAAGTATTAATAGGATTATTTCTCAGAATTTTGAACATATTATCAGTGTCATGTATAAGGATCAAGCCAAGAGAGGGGCTTTCCACCTCTACGTGCTCTTTCCAAAGCTTCCCATCCCCCACTGTACTCACCACACATTAAACAGTTAGAGACAGTTAGAGGAAGTAGGGATAGAGCCAACTCTTTCTGAGTGGGTGACAAGGTTACTAGTCAGCATTGTTTCTCCCCACAATACTCAAATGAACTCTTACTTTCTTATTTCATCCTACTAAAAAGTACTTTGTTTCTAAAAATCTGAAAACGTCTTATTTTTCAAGAGGATAAATCCCTGCATCACAAATTCCCTCCATCCCATTACTGTAACTACATCTATGACTCAGTTTTAACTTCTAATTTTCTTTATGGTATCTTTCTGATTTCGCATCCAGTTCATTTACAGTAGTAAATATTCACTATAATCTAGTTATGGTGAATAAATGCTACCTTTCCAAGTATCAAGTCTGGAAGTCCTGATTTTTTCAGGAAAGCAGCAGCATCAGAAGCCAACACTCTTCCAGTATTGCCCGTATCAACCTGAAAGATATAAACTATACTTTAAAAATAAACACAAAGGCAAAATTATGATTATTTACTTGCTTCCATCCCTTTAATTTGGGAACTGGATTTTCCAAGAAGGAAAGGGAATCCTTTGACTAGTAAAGGTCAAGGAGTATGTGTAAAGCTATATGAGTACAGTAACATCTAGAAAGCACTGGCAATTTACAAAGTATTTTTAATCATTCTATTATACAAATGAGAAAACTGAAGCTTAGAGAAGTAAAGCAAATTAGTGGAGTGGTAATACTAACACATTGTCTTCTGGCTCCAAATAGTCTATACTTGCCATTTAAATTCCAATAAACTTAAACCGGGGGGGGGGG